TAAAAGGAAACGCTTTTTTGGGGGGGGGGGGGGCGGGGCGGGGTCGGGTGGAGTTGTATATATTTTAACTCTAAATGTAGTTCAAATAGTAATAAGAACGAGTTATAATCATAGACATTTTGAATTCAAATTTTGGTAGCCTCTTGGAGTAATTTTATGAATACTTTAGTTCTGGCGTAGATGTCTACTTTTGATCGGATTGAGGAAAAAATTAGTCAAAGCGCGCGTGAGCTAATCCAGATACACTTTACTGTTGAACAAAAAAATAAAAATATATATATACTTGGAATGCTAGGAAAATATTTACACATCAAAAGTCTGCTTTGTGATAAGTTGATAAAGATGCCATTTAAGGCCAAAAGGCAAGTGGTACTTTAGGCTTTCTTTTCCTTTTTGCCTGCTTGAAAAGGGTAACCCTCTATAACCATCCCATAGATTGCTTCCCCTTGTACTGTTGAAAAACGTAGGCAAACTCAATCTTGATGAGCCGACTAGTGCACGCCATATGCGTTAAAAACTTTAGGCGTGATTGTGAAATGTTTGGTATGAAGACTACATACATGTACATCATCCTTCAATTGGGGGCTGTATTTAGATAGGGATATACACATCTCTACGTGAATTTATATCTTTCTTGATCGATAGATAGATTTATTGAGAGTTGGATATCAATCTCATCCGTATAAGAAATAAGAATTCATCTTCCAACTCGTCCCATCAAAAAAGAGTCTGATTTAGTCTTAAATATGGCTTAACGTCAGTGACAAATAACTCTATTGATATGTCAAATTATTAGATTTTTAGAAAATTCTGCTGCATGTCATTCCTTGGAAACGAAATAACCTTCATACTTTAGTTGCTATGCTAGTATGTAAAAAGAGGATTTACTCAATAATTGCATGGAAATAGAGCTGCCACAAATAATACTTGAGGCACAAGGTAAAAAATTTAGATGGAGTTCTAAAACAAGTCGTGTGTATTTTTTTTTTTTTTTTAAATTTCTCATCTCGAGATTGTATGTTTAAGAGAGAAAACTACTTGAATAACAAGCATTTATATAAATCAATACATTATAATATCGAAATTAACTAAATTATTGAGTGCAAGAAGGTAAAACTTAGGAAACAGGCCGTAGCCATTGGATCTTGGATAAAATGCGAACGAGTTCAAGTCTTGTACGTTAGTTTTTTCTTTTTAGTGAAAGAATATGGCGCAAGCATTTTCTTTTTTGTACATTAGAGAAATTAAAAAAGCAATAAGTAAATAAATGAGAAATGAAATTTATGGGGAGGGGGAAGATTATTAAAGAGAGAAAAAAATATCTTGTAACCAAAAAAATCATACGAGACTCAAGTGATAACAAAATATAGGAAAATTTTACATCACAATGAGACAACTGGTAGCCCTTTGCCAAAGGATAGATCTAATTAAACCTATCAATCCTGTCGGGTGAAGTAAGTTCGTGTCAAGTCTTCATGGATTTCGTGTCAAAAAATATTTCATTCATATCCAATTAATTTATTAATTCGTGTTTAATGAATCATGTCATATTAAATTCGTGTCGTGTATTAATCGTATATATAAACGAGTTATGTAATATATTTCTTTTGATTGATTTCACTCATAACCGATTCGTTTATTAATCGTGTCGTGCCAGGTTTACCCGTTTATTAAATGAATGACTTAATAAATACTTAAACCTTCTAATTTCGTATTATATTAATGAGTTGTGTCATATTTTGATACCCCTATATCTCACAGAAGAAATTATCCCCAGCATTGATTATACAAAAATCTTTTTCTTATTTTTTTTTTAATTTTTGTTTTGAACTACGTAATTGTGTGTGACCTAGATGAATGAGACCCTAGACGAGTGGCGACCCTAGCTATAGCCAAGTTGGCATAATAGAATGGCCCTTGCTCTCTACATCGTGCTATATATACAAAGTGTAATCAAACCCTTTTTTGTGCCTTTTGAGATTGGATCACAATGAAATAAAGAGGAATATACATTTCGGTTCATCGCCGCCGCTACTCCTACCAGCATGCGTTGATTAAGGATACTCAGAACTCTCAAGTCAAATGGATTATTTACTTCATTTTCCTCTAGTCTAGACTAGCTGTCAAACATATACCATTCCCTTTCTTCCAGTAAATAAATTTCAATTTGCGCTTAATTTCTTACCTCTATCATAGATTATAGCGAGATTTATAATCTATAATTGAGTCTCTTTTTTTTTTTTCTGTTTAAAGACCAGGAGTGTCCGGACCACTTATGCATAACTCGACTAACTTATTTAGTACAAGTCAGATCATCTACGATAAAATTAGGATGTTCATGAAAGATAAATCTCTCATAACCTATTCTTAAGGGGTTGTCAAAATTCAAACTCATAACATCTAAATTTATAACTCAACCCTATTTCATCTTAAACTACTCCTTAGAGTTTATAAATGAGTCTCTCAACCAGACATAGTGAGTGATCTGATAGTGAGTAAAGTATAATTGAGAGGGTTTGTATACGACTAGAAGTACATATGGAATGAAAGTGCAAGATTTTCGTCCCAGAAGAAGGACGAAGACGCGGAGGAAGAAGGCATAGCTTCCATGACATGCGCCGCGCCGGACTTCACTCACCGTGTGCCTTTTGTGTTCTCATAGTCAACCTTCATTCTCTGTATTTTTTAAGTTTTTGTATTTTCAGATATACAATTATAGGATTCAAAGTTATTCATTACTTTTTATGAGAGGTGTTCATCGTGTCAAGTTAAACGGTTTGTGTTAGATCTAATTGGGTTCGTGTGAAATATTGTTTAAATCATACACAGATTTGTTTAATTAAACAGTTGAAAATGTAATTAAATATAATTTGTTTATTAAACGAGTTATTTGATAGAACTCATTTAACCTGTTTAATAATTTTTTTTTAATTTTTAAAATAAAATTTTATTAAACTTTTTTTAACTGATATTATTATTAAACTCTATATATTATTTTGGACTAAATTTTTTTTTTGAATAATTATTACTTTATTATTATGTTAATTTATTTAAATGGATAAATGAGTAATAAATTGATTGAATAATACTACGCTGACCAAATTTTGAGATCAAATCAAAAGTTCAAATGATATGACACTTGATTATTTTGAGTCTTTATTAGGGCCCAAATAACATGAAACCAAATAAAAAATTTCAAGTCAGTTGTCATTTCATTTGAACTCTAGATTTGGTCTCAAACTGTAAATGAATTAACATGTATCACAACACATGATCCATTTATTAAACATATCTAGCGAATTCGCCTGTTTATCACTCACACCTATTAAGACATTACTCAAAGTCACTTAATTTCATGTCGATTCATGTCCGTTAATCAGGGTATCTTGCATTTTGACAAGTCTACTTTTTATGTAGATTGGATAAGGATACACAATAATAAGTACGTGCAAAAGTTTATATTTACCGTATTTATTTCTCAACACCATTGTCTCCTCCCTTACTACACACACAAACACACAAACACACACACACACACACAAAAGTTCACTGGGATGGACCACCCTTCATGGCCACATGTGCCCCGTTAAATATTAGAACCTAGTGTTAATTTAATTATTTTTATGAAATCACATCATTATATCAATAAATTATATTAAATTTTTTCAATCTAAATAACATTATTTTTAAATAAATACTTATATTACACGCCTCTTTACAAAGGTTTTAGATTCTTTAGTGGTTCAACATATCCACCTCTTTGTTTAGCGGTACAGCAAAATTAATGTTTATTAATCTTCACAGTGTATATCAGGCTCTTTATTGTCAGTTGACTCAGCTGTTTTAGGAGTGCATGCGAGGTGGTCCAGGTGTGGAGATGCCCCCATTTAAATATAGGCCATCAGTCACTGTCCCCAACTCTCTCTCTCTGTGTATATATATGTATATATATATATATATACAAATTCTTCCACCTCTTGCCATGTCTTCATTGTTTGTTCCAAATTTTAGGCCTTCCCCACATAGTTCTGACTTAAAATATGAACGAGAAAACACACACAACAGTACTCTTTACCCACAAACAGATAAATTGGGTGCATGTTACCATTTTTTTCCCCCAGAAAATAGCTTGTCATCATTATCCATACATATTTTAGTATGATTAGAGCAGATTATGTGGTAATTTTAGTATGGAGTTTCTATGAATATCACAAGTCATAATTACCGCTCATAATAGATCACATTGTATCAGGTTTGTATTATATCTAAGTCGTATAATATCAAAAGTTATTCAACTCATGTTTAACTCATTGATAATCGGGTGTTCATGTTCTATTGCGCTCGTGTAGTAAATAATTGAATTTATATCGACCCATTTATTGAGTAGATTTGACATATCAATACAATTATACTCAAAAACTTATTAATTAAGACTAAACTAATATGATAGGATCACGAAGAATCTATTAATATACAAGTAAAGATACGATAGGATTCAAAGAGATCAATTGATATCTAGATTTATTTAGATACGTAGAGATAATGTTAGAGATATGATAGGATTATAAAAAATCCATCAATATTTAGGTGAAGAGGCGATAGGATTCAAAGAAATCTATCCATATTTAAATTTGTTATAGAGATAATGACACATGTGTGATTTATCTTTATCTTGTGTATTGATAAATTTTTCTTGATCTTATCATATCTCTAATACTCTCGTCCTAATCATAGTGGTGTAATAATGAATGCAATTGTAACACCAAACATTTAGGATTTAGCTACTTGGCACTGAAAAAAGAGTTCACAATAATAAAACCATACCCATATTGCCCATTCAACATGTCAAAAACCACACTAATCATCTTCTTTTTTCAGCTTTGGTGCTAATAATTTCTTGATAAGGAACAATGAGCAAAGTGATGAAAAGCTATAGGTAAACCTTGTCTTTATTATTTTTCCCTTTCAAGTGGGTATATACAGCTCAAATGTTATCTCTTAGTCCTCCACAAAAGAGCATGTGAATGGGTCAAATAGTTTTAATATACACATGAATGAGAAACTAGCTACGATGCTTTTGGCCCAAATAAAGAACTAATAAATCAATAAATATATAAAATTAAGGCGTCTGGGACTGCTTACCATGTGTCTGATGGTACAAAATAACCACTGCAATGCGTTTTAGTTAATCATAAAGCATTGTGCTGATAGATAACAACTCAATTATAAACACCAACAAATCCTCTCACAAACTCCAAATGCCAAAGTGTCTCTTTCTGCAAACAGAAAATCCCATATGATCTGATCACATCCCCACCTCTCTCTCTCTCTGTAATCTTCCTAGAAATTCCCCCTCATTCTTCTTCCTTCATCAACTCTTCGACTACCCCTTTTTGAACACCAACTGCTCCCATCCCACCCACAGCAAACAGATCAACCACATACATAAAACTTTGTCTATACCTATCTACCTGTTTGGACTTGTTTGCGAGTCTGTCACGGAAGTGAACGAAAAGAAGATAGTTAGCATTCATTAAAAAAGAAGGAAATTTATCTTTCGTGTGTTAAGGTTTGTTGTATTTTCAACTTATTGTAATAGTGGAAGAAAAAAAGGAGCCTTTTGAGACTTTACTTTTTCTATTCACGAGAACTGGTTAGTCCATGTAATTGTTTATTTAACGTTTATTCATCAAGGATGTTGACAAATTGAGGTGTGTTTGATTGCTTTGTTGTCAATGGTTCAGGTGGAAGAAAGTGATTGCCCCATTCGGTGCGCAAGCTGGTGACTCTCTCTCTCTCTCTCTCTCCTGTACACCCAGCTTCTTCTTTCCCTCTACACTCGTCTTTCTCCATCTCCTTCTTGCACATCCTCTATTTCAAAGAAAGCTACAGAAAATCGTTGAAAATGACTGACGTTCACAAATTGGTGAGCATAATTTTTCAGGGTCCTGAATGTTATTTGATTTCATTTTCATTTCGTCTAGGCTAATCTCACATCACTGAATTATACGCGAAGGTTTTTCTTACAGATTTTACTTTGTTACTGTCTCATTAGGTACCGAGTAGGTGGGTACTAACAGATATTATCCAACTGACCGCCCTCTCTCTCTCTCTCAAAACTTTTCAGGAGGACATGGATTCTGAGAATTTTCGCTCATCTTCTGAATTAGATGAAAAGGGTATCCAGAAAGTCTCTATTTCTGATCAAACAAACAACTCACAGTACAGGGGCATCAAATCTGATAGCTTTGCAGTGGACATGGAACGTTTCTCTCATCCCAACCACAAAGACGTAGCAACAAATTCAAGAATCACTGTAAGTATCTTCTTCTTTCTCCTTTGATTCTTTTTTTTTTCCCTGGAAATTGTTCCAAAAAAAGTTGTTAACTTATTAATTACGTAATTGAAAACATGATTGTCAGTATTGCTGAGGTAGCACGTTTCTACCTTTCCTAGAACTTTGTGGCCATCAAAATCATATCATTTTCAAGTATTATGGACCATATTCCCTTTTGATTATAAATAGTTATCATTGTCTGAAGTCAAGCAACTTTTTTTAAGATTATTTTTGAATGCTTATGAAAAACCTTATGCAAGAGCACATAATCTTTTATTTCTCTAATTCGTTTGTGCGTTGATAAAAAGTTGCAGAGAAGCCTTTCAAGGAAAGGGTCACAGCGAGGTGGCGAGAAGAAGATCAATCCGAGTACTGGCAATGAGAAAGACACCAGTGTTGTTGCTAGCTCTTCACCAAGAGGTATGAAAGAATAAAGTAATCTACATCATCATGGTCATCATCAAGAGAGAGAGAGAGGAATTAACCAAGCCATTCACTGTTTGTCATTATGTATTCAAGTTACTGCTTCCAAGAGAGAGAGAATATTATTCTTCTATGCATTAAAATAATTTGTCTTTTTTCGGGAATTATCAGATTTTTTTACGGCTTACTATTTTTTATCTTTAAAATATTAACGTTTTGTCAATTTGATTTTTATTATATTAATTTTACCAATTTATTCTTTAAAATATTCAATTTGTGTCTAAATAATTACTACACAGACAACCCATTAAATTTTTATTATGAAAGTCATCACGTGATACAATCTGAAAAGATGACATGTGGTCATTTTCGTCAAAGAGCTTAACGACTGTTTGTGTAGAGATCATTTAAACACAAATTAAATATTTTAAGAACTAAATTAACATAATTAATACAATAAGAATCAAATTGACAAAACAGTTATATTTTAGAGGCTCAAAGTGTATTAATTTTTTTTTTAGCATATCCGAACCAGATTGATAAATCACACATACAATTAATTTAAATGGAATCTGCACACGATTTACTACTGAGGAAATTTGGGAAAAAAAATTATTGAAATTTGCTAAAAATTTCAGTACTATTGACAGGGATGTGAGATTGATGATCAAGGCGTTGCGAAAATGACATTACATATTCATTAAACATCTATTTGCTGTATTAAAATTTTATAATCAAGATTAATAGGTCAGTTTGCCAGTTTCCTAAGTGATTTCCTCTGGTTGGTGGGGGCGTTTTAATATATTTTCATCAACTCCTTTTATTTATTTAACAACTCAAGAACAAAAGTGTTTGATACACTTGTGGTTGGAGATGTCAGAGACTAGTTTTAGAATTCTTTATTTGGTAATGTTAGGTGCAGAAGGTTAGGTAATCCAGAGCATCCAAAACGCTATACAAAACTTGGTATAGTACCATTTCACTCCGCATGCAGCATATATAATTGTGTCATCTTGTGTTTTATCAATTAGGATAAAATGTATCATAATACCCACCTTAGAACATTTTCTGACTCCGCCACTGAGCATGCTAATGTAGCACTTTAGTGCTCTAACCTAAGGGGTGTAGACCACCGGGGTTAGCCCGATTAGTCAATATGTTACCGGAATCTGCAAATTCAGGGCTCTGAATAAACCAGTGGTGAGATATGGGATTAGCCAGAGTGGTGTACGACCCTCCCTAGGTGAGACCTAGGATCGAATCTCTTCACTGGATAGCGACATGCATACCCTTTTCCCCTTCAAAGGGAAAGAAAAAAAGAAGGGGGGGGGGGGGGGGGGGGGGGG